GTAACTCATAGATGGTAAATGGATTGATCTTTTGATGTAAGTAAGAAAATGGCAAGCGAGCTGTCGGTATACCTTATGTTAAGCGATAACCACCGCCCATGTAATTAGCTACTGCCAACGTGCCAACTAAGCTAAGCGACCGATGAGACCACAGCGCGAAAATAAATTCGTCTATTAAAATCCCCTTTAAATACAACTTGAGCAAAGGATAAAAAATGTTATTATGGATATTGCAGAAAAAAAGGTTTAAATTCTAAAGCTATACGTCACAATCGATAACTTAAAGATATTTGAATTATGAGGTCCGATTTAAAAAAATGTTTTATAGTGTTGTATTATTTCAATTGTTCATTTTGTAGATAAATGAACAAAAAAATTCTACGCTGCGGGATTCGAAACTGCGTCTTTTGGTTTCACGCCCAGACACCTTACCAATTTAGATAGACGGCCGAAGACCACACGGCCTATACCTGTATTACCTATTTATAAGTTACCTGTTAAGAAAAATATTTTGGACCGTCTTTTGCGTGCAACACTCGACACAAAGGAGGTAGCTCTTATTTAACGCGTGCCGCATTAGGCAAAACCGAATATTTAATAGTTCAATTGAGGTACTTTCAGGTATTCACGCGTGCCTCCGACACAGTAGGCATTCCGCGGATTCAATTAAATGCCAGGTTATTGTAATGAACCCGCATCACGACCACGCCGCAATCATTCCGTGCAATTTGCAATCGTTCATTGCGTTTCGCAATTAACTCGGCCTTCCCATATCGATGTATTATGTATACACTCCATATGCGTTCAGTCTGTAACGGTGCGTTGATTATTCATCATTTGATTAGAATTGATGCTTTTTATTGATCCCATGTTGTGGAAGAAATCATATAAATGAAAATTTGTTCTGCACGATGAAGAAATTAATAATAGTTGTATGGTTTCATTAAATGCTTTAATAGTGTTTTTAATTTCCATGACAGAGATGTTTTGTTGAATAGAATTTAACAGCTCGGAACCAACAGGATGCGTTGGCTACATTGTACTACTATGTTGATTATGAATAGTTTCTCTTAATTAATAACACAATGTTAAAAAACAGATAGAAAAGTTGACGCATCTTTGCTAATAATGAATCAACTATTGAATTCTAAAATATGACTCCTATTGTACATAATAAAACCAAAATTTAGCCACACTTTAATATACTTCCAATTATTTTTTAGTAGTGATATTTTTTCGCATGTCAATAATTGTATAAATATAAGTATGTACTTAGTATATATAAATTATTTGTCATATTATATTTTACTGTATCTTATTCATGTATTTAATGTAGTATACCTAGTTTTTTTGGCAAAATAAATTTCTTGTTTACTTCGCTCTTTTCTTCCTCATTATATTTGAAACTTAATTAAAACAGTTCTACAAAATGTGACAGCATAATTTAAACTGACAGCTTCATGGTCATTTGTATAAAGGCCCCGACAACCATCTTACGTTATACAACAACAGAGTTGTAATTGGCTTCTCCAATAAACATAATCTTATTTCAAAAGTTAACTAATCCGTTTAACAATAGCGCAATTACGGCGGAATGAGCCGTGGGTCTGTTATAACGTTATTTAGTGCAAAACTAATGCATTCACGTTATATATTATAATTAGAGCGACCGAGGCGATTCTAAATGCTTTTATAGCTGCTATAGGTTCAACAGTCGGTCACTCATTAAACAATGGAGTTAATTGCGACGCTGTTTCCATTATGCGGGCTGCAATTAGATTTAACCAAATACGGGTTTCGGGTTAATAAAGAGTTAAAAAAGTAATTAACATCCAGGCGCTTTCAACGTCCATAACATGTTTCGCTTACTATGATAACTAACTTAACTCTTGAACTTGTATGGAAAATTGTTGTTCATTATTTATTGCATTGCTAATGCTAAGATGTTTTAACTCTCACCAATTGGTTCAATTAATTTCATAAGTCTTTTATTATTTAATAGAGGTTTGCTTTTATAACACTATATGATATGAATTACTTAATTCACACCAGTCCAGAGAAGAACCCGCAAGAAACTGCACTCTTGGTTATATTATACCTACCTATGTTTTTAAGCTCTTCAACCCACTTCAAAAAAAGGAGTGGAGCTTCTCAATTCGGTTGTATGTTTGTATTATGTTTGTATCAGAATCTCTGCCATTTAACTCCCATCTCCAAATTCCGCAATACAATTCAAAGGTTTTTCATGCACCTTTGTTCTTCGGATATACTTCTCAAAATCAAATAGAAAATGTACTGCTGAAGTCGGTTTTTATTTTTATTAATAAAAACATACTTGTTGTGCCGTAACAAAGCTTCGCCATTCTACACTTAGAATGTACAACGGCACAGTACAAAGTATCCGCTGAATATATTGATCACACCAAAGGAATGAGGAGCAAAATCTAAATCACGAATTGTGAGCGTGTCTCGGTTTTATTAAAATTCCAGTTAAGCAACGGGTCATGGCGGCCAGAACGCACTCTGCAGCAGAAACCCCCCACGCTTCTGAAATCCAACGTCGTTTCCGTTATTAAAAAAGTACGAGACTTTGTCATCAGAGAAGTAAGTTTTTTTTTTTTTTTAATTAAAATTATGAAATTGATATTGCCTTTACGCCGGCGCCCGCTCCGCGGCACGACCTCGCGAAAGTTTAAATTAATTTTTGAATTAAGCCTAATAGCAGTGGTAAACGATTTCTAAAGAAAGAGTTTTCTGTTTGAGCAATTAAAATTTCAATTATTCTATGGCAGAATACCGTGTCTTAATTGGTTTTGGCTGTGGAAATTGTAGATAAAAGTAATTGTCCATTGAGTGCGAACGGTTTCGGGGAGGAATGGAAATGCCGCGAAATCATTTTTATTATGAAATAAGCGATTAAATAACAAAAAAGCTTTTATAAGCAAGTGAACAATGTATTCATATTTGATTGAATACTTTTTTTATTCTAAGTGTTAAATTTGTGCGTTAAGTAACTTTATACTCAATTAAAAATTAAATGGGCAATGCTGTTATGCTCAAAACTTATTATTTTGTTGGTATATTGGTTAACAAATATACACAATAACAGCGTTTTTGAAATGTCTATTTCGTATATAAAGTTCATTATCACCAATATGACTACACTTATTTTTACATTTTGGTCTAAAATAAAAAAAATTGGCCATAACAAAAGCACTGCTGTTACGTAAGAATTTCGTAAAACTCCGACACCCAATCCGCGTGTTGAGTTTATTGTGAATACATTACCCGAGTCAAACTTCTGCAAACTCGAGACAATCCACGTCATAAATTATTTTCCGAGAGAAAGGCTCAAGGCGAAACTTAAGCCTGACATAAGTGGGCAATAAACTTCAACCAATTTGGAGATTCGCATCTGGAGGCTCTTATTAAAGCCCGAAAGTTAGTCCTTTTCATCCATCACTCGTAATACGTGTGTGAGTTATTGTATGAAAAATTGAAGAATAAATTGAGTCGCTGCAACGGCGGCGAGACATAAATCCCAACTGAGCCCTCAATATTGTTTTAAAGGGGAAGTGGCCATAAATTTTATCAGGGCCGCCCAGCGCCGCGGGCCGCTCTCCCCGGGCCCGCTGTCTCCGCAATTTTCCGTCCATGCTTGTGCATTCACCGCTCATGTGAGTTTGTTGCGTTATTACCAAAGAAATTGAAATCCCCTCGCGCTAGGCTATCATGAACGACGGGTTTTGCGACACTATTGCCCATTCACTTTCCTATTTCCAAATTTCTAATATATACTCTCCGAGCTATCTCAAAAACCACCATAAAATGTAATCAGTAGTTATAAGAACGTTATAGAACTACGAAACGGATTGTGAAATTCTCTAAACCACATGTCATTTCCTAAAACAATAACCGCTAAGAACTTGCGCCGTTATTGGTACGCCCCGATTTATTTCTACCAATAACTCGATATCACATGCTGAAAACAATGCGACTGCCCGTTTGATATATATTACGAAGAAACTCAAAGTTATTACATTTTCCACTTTCTCGAATGAGCTTAATGGCTGTAATAACGCGGAACATGATTTTGATTATGATAAAGGCACATAAAATGCCGCGAAAACCAGAAGGGAGACTTTTTGAAGCGTCATTATTTACGATTATGTGTTTACGTTTTTGTTTTGGCGTTTCGTTATTGAAACTAATCGCAGTCAATGAATTTAAGATGACAATTTAAGGTCTTAGGTATTCGGATGTTGTAACATAATATTGTTTAGGAGTTGTTCTCCTCAATCAGGTCTCCTTAAAAAAATGCTACCAAAGTAATTGCGTGGAACAATAAAAAAAATCGCTTATTTTTATCAATAGTATCTGGGTGTTGGACATTTCGCATAAATGTGATATTGCAATATCGTTCGTCCCCTTTTTAATATCGCGACGGACGCTGCCGGTCGGTTTATGGCACAACCCTTCCCGCGTTTTATTCACGACCTGTTTGTCCTAATATTATAAAAAATTGACGTCAGCGGACCGACTTTGTTTTGTAGTGTTCCGTTTCTGAGAAAGATTAAATCTACAATTTATAAATGTATAACAGTATATGGAATGATCTACTCTTCCTAATTCACAAATGATTCAAAACAGTGCCTGATTGGCGTCTTTGATATTGATCTTAAACATGGGCACTGAAAAAATTAACTCAATCGCCATGTAGAGTTGGAGGGCTAATCCATCATGGTTTAAGACAACAAGGAACAACATCTGCTTTTGCATCAATAAATGGGTCGAAAAGACTCAAAAAGGATCGACGTAGAGCAAAAGTTTTTATAGCTTCGCGTTTCGTCTGCTGAGTAAGGTAACCCGTACGGACACATTCTCTTAAATGCCTGGCAACGCAACTTTTGAATAAAATTTTTTTATATCAATAAACAAGTAAATCTGTTACCGTCAGATGAACTGCATTAGATCATAAAAAATTGATTTGTTTAACTCACTGGCAGCGTTATCAGGTTTGTGCATGGCCGGTGGATCACGTATCATGTTGTGTCTGTCACTCTCGCATCACCCGGCTGGAAATGTGGAACTGGTCCTGAAACAACCGATCCTGTGATTATTTTCACTTATTTCGAGTTCTTATACAAACTATAAGAGAGTCGATACAGCACACACGAGTTTGTCGCGTCACAATACAGCACTCAATAATTACGTAACATCTGTCCTAAATAAAGTAAGTTTATTTCTAAAGAGTATAAGAAGATTCGGTTAAAAGTAAAAAAAGTTTGTGGGGTCATATTAGGGCATAGGTTAATGATATAAACATGTGTTGACTGAACTTCCTTTAAGGAGATTTTTCACTTGGAGGATTCGTGATGAGTAATTAAATTTCTAATTTAGATATTTTCTTAAAGTAAGTTATGAATAAATGTTTAATGAAGTTAAAAATTAGTGAAAATATTAAACTTTCGGTTTTCTTGAGGTGAGTGACGTTTAACGCATCTGCACCCCATAGTCAAGCCATATAAAAAAAACACAATGCAAAACATATTAAGTACAAAATATTATTGTAACGATGGTGAGTACATTTCCCTTTGAGAAAACGGCCTAGATCTCTTGACAGATAAATGGCTTGCTTTCTTCTGAGTGTGTAAAATAAATTCTTTAACTTGATAGTTAGTTTCTTAATGAGAAATTTTTGTAGCTTATTTTTTTAAAGGCATTGCCCTTACTTTAGGATAACATTATCCTGTGTTGTAAGAACGTTTTTAAAACATAAATTTCACTTGGACAAACACCCAGATGCGAAGCAACTATCTGTGGGTCACACAAATAGTTGTTCCGTATGGGGATCGAACCCACGACCCCCGACGCCGAAGCCAATACCTTGGCAATGAAGGCGCCACGGAGTCAGCTGATCGTCGAAAGATTATTTTTTCGGCACCGTTAGGATTCGATCCTGCGTGTAACGTGTTCAAACGCTCTAGCCAACTGAGCTAAGCGGCCTACGTAAACCTTGACATGTACCTACTTTGTTAACGGAATTTTAGCAATGCTTGGCTATATTAAATTTTAATGAGACAGCAATAATAAAGCATCTAAAAACGGCTACAGCATCGCATGCATTATTAGATTTCCACGAAGGCGAGGGAGGTGGATCCAACTTGCATAACATAAATCTGCAATTCGAAACTGTGTTCGCCAGCAAAGGCCGACACGAGAAGCACGCGTCTCAGTGAAACCTCATTAGAATAAACGATATCCTCTTCTCACGTCCACTACGCAAGACCTTATTACAACGACAAATGCCGTCAAACGGCATCATTGGTACCTACTGTTCACTGTAATATGGACGTTAAATCACTCCGGTAGAACATACTTTACATAGCCACCATTTGCTGTGATCAATGCAGTGAAATTTAAACCTTAGGATGTTAATTTTAAGATACATTTAGCATCAAAACTGACAGAGACACTGAGTAAGACGCCAATGGATTGTGCCAGTCCTTAAGGGACAAATTCACCATACTCTGTTAGTTTTATAAATGTCTTGTTAAATGTATTTAACAGGCTGTAAAAGGAAATGAGTGATCAATTTTCTAAATCAGGCGTTAATTTTGAACACTGCTTGTAAAATTAGTAATAGCTTTCTGTCGGTTTGACGTATAATTTTATTTTCTGGAGTGTAGACAACAGTTAATTTAAATGATAAATTGAAAAGAGTAAATAATATTTCAATATGGCAGTATTACGTACTACGAAATGCATTATAATACATAGTTGTTAAAGATGACAATTTGTCAAGATATTTTAAAATTTAATTGAATATATTGATAATGCAAAGGTTAATGTCCGTTTGTAATACTATTGCTGCTTAATTTAAACCAATCAATATATTGTAAACAAATAAATAAATTCGTGTATAATACAAAATAGTGTAAAGCAAATTTTTCCAGACAATCATTTTTTTTTTATTTAAATAAAAATATTTCCCTCACTTTAGGATAACATTATCCTGTGTTGCAAGGACGTTTTACAAACAGAAATTTCACGTGGACAAATACCCCGATGCGAAACAACTATCTGTGGGTCACACACACACAAATAGTTGGCCCGTGTGGGAATCGAACACGACCCCCGACACCGAAGCGAATACCTTGACGACTGCGCCACGGAGTTGCCACTCATTGACCAGACATCAATCATTGTAATCGAAATTATTTTAATTAAAACAATAAAAGATTGTAAACGCATCAACAAGCCATGTACTAGATGTCTATGGGTGACGGTATTCATAAAACATCTGGAGAACGGCCTTCTCGCTTGACGACATTTCTTTAAAAAAAAAAACAATTTTAAGGCACAAATGAAAAAAAATATATAAAACAATGTGGACGGTAATGTTCATATTATTTCCCGATATATTTGTATTAATTGACTTAAACACGAAGCGGCCATATAAATTGCCAGCATTACCTAATAACACATTTCGTTTCGGGCGCTCCATTTAAAAATAAATCAAATTCGTATTTTATTGTGCGAGAAACGCTATGGCACTCGATCGGTGAGGCGGAAGATTTTATAACCGCATCGAAATTCCCATCAGCACCTGTTACAAAGGCGGCTATCAAATTACCCGCGACATATCCGAGCACGCCTCCAACCATAAATACGGTATTCGTTATGCATTTCTCATATTCATGAATCCGTTTTATTGGCCCCCAATAAAATATGAACATCTCAGAATGGATATGAGAACGGGCGAATCTAATATGGATTGCTGTGCGCCGGATTCGGTCCAATTGGCGGGTGGGGCCACAGCTGCGACGTAGCTTCGAAAATTTTAAATTATATTTATAGTACAGTAAAAAAGTATATGTGTACTTATGTATCAGAAGTTATACTTCTTTAGCGTAAAATAAGAAAGATAACTTAAAAATTTTATACCCTGTGCCAGTACTTATTGTTTGGGAAAGAAGGAGATTGGCTCTCGGTGTGCGCGCGCATTGTAAACATTTTACTCTCATATTTTGTTCCAAATGCGCTAAAGAAATATAACTTCAGAAAAGGGAAAAGTTTAAAAATTTCCCACTGCTGGGCAACGACCTCCTTTGTTCAGAGGATTGTTATATTAATTTAAAAAAAATTATAAATATAAGTAAGTATCTTTTAGAAATTACCATGTTTTATGGTGATTATTATTTTTATTATATTATTATATTATATTATTGATATTTTGTACAGTTTTATGGTGATTATTTAATTTAAGGACTACTTTTATTTCCCTTATCTTTTTAGAACTTCCGTCGGATATTGATACACTTAAACAACACAAATTACTTCGATAATAAGTGATAATTACTTGTCCAATGTAGATCTGATATGATAACGTCACCATGGCGATTTATTGATACAATAAAAATATAACACGGGTTGGTATTATGCCGTAGAACAAGAAATGAAAAAGCCAGTAATACTATAATTAGTTAGGACGTCAATATTTTCGTAGCCACTAAGGGCAGGTTTCAATGTTCTCATTGTCCATTTGGTTACTAGCTATATAACTATATAAACTATATAACTAGCTATATATGAGCCGTGATAGCTCAGTGTCCGGGCGCTCGCCTTTAATTTAATATACTCGAGCAATCTCAGTTCGATCCCCGGTGCCAGCATCAATGAAATATACGGTGCATATTTTCGAAATAATAACAAAAAAAATATTTGGAAGATATGTGAAGTCCGCCAATCCGCAGTGGAGCCGGACTATTCCCTGATACCCTCTGTGTATAGGAGGCCTTTGCTCAGCAGTGGGACATGTATAGGCTGATACTTCACTCTACCTATACATATATATAAAAAAAAAAAAAAAAAAAAAAAATATATATATATATATATATATATATATATATATTTTTGACATTCTGTGTTGTACAAATGAGCAGGCTCATCCGGGGAAGTACCACGGCCTCAGAGAAGACCGGCGTGAAATGGAAGTATTATACTTTCATGTACTGAGTTTGATCTATGATTTTTTTAACCGGAAAAGGAGGTTTCTCAATTCGACCGTATATATAAATTTTTAAAGGTTGGAAACGCATCTGCAAACCGTACGGTGTATGAGGTGTCCATGGGCGGCGGTAAACACGGTAAGTGTTTAGATCAGATAAACCGCATGTTTCTTTCCCAACTTATCGCTTAAAATATCGGTACCCGGAGAACCGAGCTTTGCTGTTTTTTTTTTTTTTTTGGTAAATCGTGTATTTTGGAAATTACATTTAGATACAAATTACTGAGTAATGAAATATGCATAATGTTTTTCGATCTTACCGACGTAATAATAAGAAAATATGAACTGATGTTTTTCACAAAAGAAAGAACTTTAAAAAAAAAGGGAAAAAAATAACAAAGTAACAAATCGACAAAAAATTAAAAATAAAGAAAGCAATGATCTGGAATCGAAAAAAAAGTAAAACAATAAATGTGTAAATGATCGTGACGCGAACCACGGCCGTCTGTTTTGGGGCCACCCGATTACCGACCGAGCTATTATGACATTTTCTCTTGCGGGCGAAATTTACCGTCATATTCGAATTATATTTTTCATTCCCTGAAAACAGGGATAAAATGACATTTTCTAAAAATGAAACCTAGCTAGATCGATTTTTCGCCCCCGAATCTACGCACATACAAAATTTCATGAAAATCGCTGGAGCCGTTTCCGAGATTCCGATTATATATATATATATATATATATATATACAAGAATTGGTCGTTTAAAGGATAAGATTAAATAGATATTAAAAAATACGATAGAAGAATACGATGAATATTTTGACATCGTTACAGTAGAAAATCTCACGTAAACTAGATCATAGATCAGATAATCAGAATGAGCAGAATCAGCACCTCGTCTTCAAGCTATAACTCCGCCGCGACTGCAAAGTACACGATTGACGCGACGTTTTCTTTTCTTTACGCCGCTACGCATTTATAACAGGCGGCTAACCGTCCAATAATTTTGGATGTATGCGGATTAACTCCCA